CCGGTTTCGACTCTAGATTGATGTGCCTAGTAGACTAGGTTACACTAAATGAAACGGACAGGATGTAGTCTTTGAAAATGTGGTAAACTTACTAGCGGAGCACGCCTTTTGGTGGCCACGAAATTCTGGATTCTATTTCCAACCAAAATTGTGAAATGGAATGAAACCACGGTCGTGGAGTGCAGTGCTGGGGGTAAACGACACCAGAAGGGTTATTGCTCATAATTTAGTTCAAGAGGTTTCGAGGTCTACTTCGAGGTTGATTGAGGTACGGAGTGTGGGTTAGTAAGGACTAGCAAACACACACCAGGTGTGTCAAAACAGAAATAGAGCACATCCGCCATACCTTGATTTCTTTCGACTCAAGGAAGTCGTCGCGCAATGTGTTGTATACTGAGAATAGAGAGCGAAAAGATAAAAATGTGTTGCTCCATCGTGGGTGAACTGGGCACATGCGCGGAATCATGTCGCTGATTCCTGTACGGTGGCAGCAAGCTGCAACTGCACTGCATCCTATCTCGGTGCGATACGCTCCCTATACTTGTAGTCCGCAAAGTGGGCGTCAAGGAATATATTGAACTCCGACACCGATTTCACCTTGACTAGCATCTCGGGCATGTTGCTCCAATATTTCACCACTCGACGCTAGAAGTACAGAGGGTGAGGGATGTGCTTTAAATGCGGTACGACTAGTTTGTACCGGTATCCGCGTGTGATGCTAGCTGCGCGAACGCACAGCAGCCGCTTCAACATAGAGAAGTGGCCCAGGTGCAATATCCAGTGCGGCATAAAGAGAACAACTATAAGCCGACGATACGTCGGACCTCGTACGGCATGCCCCGTAAACTGGGGATGAGCAGGGTAGCTACATGCTGAACCCGTTCCAGTCTCTGCACCCCACCTCTTGTGATCGGGCAATAGGCGGGTGAACTGTACTCAAGCACCGGTCTTATTATGGAAGAGAACAGACGGGTGGCAATCTCTTTAGACCAAGTGCAGGAGCTGCGCCCGAGTGCCCAAAGCAGGCGTAGACCGTTTGCGTATAGTCTGTTCGTGTTGTTGACAGACTTCGGATCACAGTGTGAGTGTACGCCCAGATCCTTTACGGGACTGGTGGGAGGCCGCGGGTGGCCGACCAGGGTGTACGCACGCCTATTACTACCCCTTTCCAGGCTCATAAAAACGAGGACTTGGCGGTGTTGACGGGTAGGTCAACTTCTGCAGACCACTAGGAGAGGCGGTCGAGGTCCTGCTGAAGGACGTCACAGTCGACGAGAGAGTCAATAATCCTCCAAATCTTCAGGTTATCCGCAAATAATACGCAGAGTGACCGAAGAAGCTGAGGTACTTCATTAATGGGGATCAAGAATAAAATGGGCCGCAGTAATGTGCCTTAGGGTACGCCGCTGGTGGACGGGTACCATTCCGTTAGGTGGCCATCCACCTGAACCCGCCATTTTCTCCCAATAAGAAAGTCACTGATCCACTGCGATAGCAACACCACACATCCTCAGCATGTGGAGCAGGACCTCATGGTTCACTTTATCGAAAGCTTTACTGTAATCAATGTAGATAACATCCACCCAATTCCCCTGATTCAACGCTTGCAACCATTCACCGAGTCAACAGCAGGTTGGTGATGCACGAGCGGCTCTTCATGAAGTCGTGCTGTGCCGGCGTTAGATCTTTATAATCCATCAGCTGGAGAAGACCCATTTTCACAATCTGCTCGAGCACCTTTGCCAAAACAAATCGGTCGGTAATTGTCCACGTTGCGTGGGTCACCACCTTCTAAAATCGCCTTCACTACCGAGGATTTAAAGTCGCTCGGCAATGCACCCTCGGACAGCGATCTGTTGAACAGATCCGTCAGGCCAGGCGAGATGGGCAATAAGGACTTCAACACTAGCCGGTGAAGTCCATCGGGTCCGGCAGGTTTTGTGCCATCAAGATAGGCGAGTAGACTGCGGACATCTACACTGCAATCAAGGCTGTCGAGTTCAGTAGGGGCTGCACATGTCAAGCTCGGCCTAGGCGCATGCTCATTTGTATATACGGAAGCGAAGTGCTTCACCAATGCGGACGCACGTTAAGTACTGGAGGTCAGAGGCTGTCCGTCAGTGCCCTCCAACACAGCAACGTTACCTGGCCTCAGGCGCCGCTTCACGTAAGCAAATCCTCTTGGGGGCCATCTTCGCTGAGGTTGCAAGCCCCTACACAAACTGTCGACGCTTTCGCGGCGTTACGTAGATTCCGCTGTCTTGTGTACGGCTCGTAATTGTTGGCAGAGCTAGAGAAGATGATTTTATTTCACAATTCGTGTCGCCGTCTGTCGAGCCAATGTGGCTTTACTGGTCCAGCTTTCCGATACTTGAGGGGTACGAAAGGAGTGCACACTCCCTTTTGTAACAGATCAAACAGATGAATCCTGCGGCAGCGACCAGTCCACTTCACTGGCGGCTAGATTTATACTATTGTAGTCGGTCTTCCAATAATTGTAGGACGGCTCCGGCAGACGCGAATAGGGTAGCAGTAGCTTTAGGGTGGCTAACACTATCAAGTGGTCACTAGCTGCCAGAGGCTACAGGACGCGTTGCCTGCAACTCGTTATCAGTAGGTTCAGGCACGATGGAGCGAAATTTCTGTGTAAGGCGCGTCGGTCGGTAGACATGTGTTACCCGTTTCAAAGACCATCTCGGAAAAATGCGCCTCGACTTCACAGTGACCGTGGAGACGTTGAATCTCAGGCCACCGTATTCGAGGAAGTTAAAATCACCCATAAGCAAGAAGCGGGGCCGACTCATGTTGTTTCTGACATGCGGCAACAAATCCAGGCATCGACTTCGGGGGCTGCGATAAGCAGCACCCACAAACAGTTAACCGTCTCAGGTGGATCAAGCAACATAACTGTTCGCACAAGCCATCTTCGCTACGGTGTGTACCACTCCCACACAGAGAGGATGGAATGTATAGTAGCACGCCGCCCCCATCGTTCGATAGTCTGTCGTCCCGGAAATACGAATAGCCACTGAGTTGGAGTTGTTGGGTAGTGACCTCAGAATTTAACCAGGTTTCGGTCAGTCCTAGTACGGCCGGAAGACGTGAGGCAACGAAGTGCAATACAACATCACGTTTGTTCATTAAACTACAAACATTTATGAAGGCTAAGCATAGACCGCGGTAGGAACCGGCAGACCCGCATGAAGCGTCATCAATCTGTTGATCCGGGTTCGGCGGATCCGAGGAACAACCCGAAAATTTACGATGTGGAGATTGGTTTCTCCAATATCAGTCCGCCGCCTCAACTCCACGATAGCGAGCTTCAGTTCCGCTGTCCGACGAATCCAAATCGACGCGAATATGGATGTTTAGATCGCCTAGCCTACCGAGGCGGGATAGTATCAGCTTCGGACTCGCTTCATCAACAAACGTGACTCGCAGAGGCCGAGACTCTCCTCCTCTTTCTTTCCAAGACGGGTGATTTGCTTCACTCGCAACCTCTGTTCATTCACGTCGAGAAGCCTATCAATCAGGCTCTACAGAAAATCCACGTCATGGTCATAACGAACCTGAGGACTAGCATCTATCGACTCAGGCGCGTGAAAAATCATAAGGTTATAACGCCGCTGATTGCTGGCAGTTATTTTCTTCTTTTTGCTTCGCTGCATTCTCCATTGGCCTTCAACACGTGCGAAAAGATGGAACGCTTTACGATTTTGCGTGTCATCCTTGAGCAGTGGTCATGAGTATCCTCAATGTACCGTTCCAAGTTTAGTATATGTACTGCCGAAGCGCCACCAAAACTTCGCGATTGGAGTTTCTGGAGACAAAGTGGTATTCATATTCAGATTGGTCGCTCTAGTGTGCAATACTCCGGAGTGAGAGCAATGCGCACAGCACTTAACGAACCCAGTGAAGCAACCAAAATAGAGCGCTCATGCTTGACTTGACTATTACCTTACCTTGGTGTAGAAATGTCCAAAATCTGCAGTCGAAAAAAGATAGCAGCACTTGCTTTCAACACCACAGAAGCCACAAGTGGAATGACGATTGTGATTAAGCTCGTTGGCAATCGATCCATCAAGCTAACACTTTGAGAAATCTATCGGTATATGAAGGGTGCATTTCGTATCAGAGCGTCGAACGCGATTTCTAACTAGTACCCGGAAGCTCAGCTAAGCTGTTTACATTCAAGGTAGCTATAATTGGTAGTTAGGTGTTTCCTGCTGAATGTGAAGAACCTGGCCCCCAACCGACCTACAATACGGAATCATTCATCCAGTGACCGTGTCGTTCGTCACCGTACTCAAATCTACCACAGCTGCTTTGGCAAAGCTGAATCCTGCACGTCTAGCATGCTCAAGCTGATAACTGCACCCATACACGAATATTGTGCGTAGTCAATGCAAAAGAGCACGAACTACAGATTTCAAAGTCAGTCAGTGCTATGCGGAAGAAATGTTGCACCAAGTCAAAGAATGAAGAACGAGGTGCTTAGAAAAGCGGAAAGGTGTCTCAGTTGTCAAAGATGCTGTGGAGAAGTGGATCAGAAGCCGGTAAATAGCAACGGCTCATCAGAATCAAGCATCGCTCATCCCGCACTGTACTGACGGATTCATAAACGCTTGAATATCAGTTTCAGATGAACAATAGCAATTGACAAATCGAAGGCTGTCCGTCTCCAGTCAAACCATCCTACTGGCTATCGTGTTTCGGAGTTCGGACTTCGACCTTGCTGAATCGACAACCCGGCCAGCTGGTGAGTAGAGAGAAGGCTCAAAAGTGAAGATCGGAGGTTGTATATTAATGCACATTTCCGTGTATAAGGTTTGAAAGCACTGAAGGGTTATTTGTGACCCATAATGTTGATCAGGAGGCATGTGAGAAGTGAAATGTGAGAGTTTAGATACATAAAAGCATGTGTATAAAAATGTGAGACGGACTAAATGCCCAGACCAAAGATACATCCGTACTGGCTTAAAATCAACAGGAAAATCAAGTTATGAATAAAAAAAATCGTAGCTAGGTGTACGCTGCGGCGATGGCTGGGTAACATAAAGTGTCAAAGCATGTACCGGGAAATCCACAATATTCGACGAACGTTTGAGTGAAGTATACCGTAGACCTAAAAGAAAGATGTCTGTCATTTCACCTGAAGTACAGAGAGCAGGAGAGAAGTGTGACAATGGAATGCGAAGTTACAGGAAGGATGAGTTTCATACACATTAAGTTGTTCGTTGCTCAGTAATAAAACAATTATTCATGCTGGGAAAGTGTAGGATCAGGAGAGCAGGCGTGAGCATTAACTACACTTAGAAGTTAAATAAACCAACGGCGAAGTGGTCTAAACGGCTCACCAGTTGACGTGAACTTAGTCAAACCAACATTAATGGAAGCTGATGACCTCCGTCGTAATGATCAAGAACAGTAGTAGCTGCAATAGGAAATACCCGAGTTGCAATTCTGTAGCATCGAAGCAGGAATGTTTTACATCAGTGTAGATTGAACAAGTAAATAAATGGTGGTCAGATATGTAACAGTGGATAGCAGACATGTAAGTATGCAGGAGAGAGGAAATAATCGACAAAAGGGTGGAGAAAGCAATGTAAAGTGTTTGTTTTCCTCTGGTACCACCATGGAGCCATAGAGTCGGAGTACTTAGCCGAGGTCCGTTCCAGTTACACCAAAGAAAACCATACATCAGTGAGATGCAGCCAAAATTCATTGTACCAACCATGGGAAGTGATAAACCCTTATACCGATACCATGATTGGAACCCAAGAAGTGCTCCATCCGTCTTCAGAGTCTGAAGCCGGCACCAGTTTCATCCGGCTGTAACCAAGTAAAACAGCCGGAAAAGCCAAAAAACCGAAGAAACATCCTGTAAGACAGTGAATAGTTCCCAACAATTTTCATCAGAGGAGATAAAACAGAATATAACTTCAGCAAAAGGTCACAGGTATGTGTTTATTCAGTCTGACAGTGTACCAATGGTACCAATTAAACTGTGGTTTGCAACACGTGATGGCTTCTAATAAAAGCAAGCATTAGATCTGTAGGTAGTTGAGCGATGCGGTGGGTCACACTCAACCAGAGATCGAATACTGAATTAGTAATTTCGGGAGCTCGCCCAGGTCAGAACAAAGTGGCAGTGTGGTGCACTGCTAATGAGTAGTATGGTAAAAGGAGCAGGCGCGATGAACCCAGCGAATAATGGAACACCGTGGACGACAGGCGCGTAGTGCACACTTAAACCAACCATAGAAACTGATGATGCTGGAGTTTTGGGCCTATACCACACCGTCACGGCAAGCTGAGTCCATGGCACACAGAGGAACATAGAATCAAATGTCACCATGAATGAAGTCCGCAAATGAGTCCGATTATCCCATACACGAAAAGTTATACCATGTATACGTTCGTTCTCCAATACACAACTCGTTCGCAAAGCGCCGCCTTCTCACTGTGGAATTCTATATCTATGAATCGCATGGTGATCACAAGGTGTAAAACACACATGTGCAAGGAAAACAGGGGTGCGTAATAAGAAAATTAAGAACATACGTGTTTGGGGGGAAATTTGTGACTAACCGCGAACCCTGGTGTTTACTCGCCGCATCCCAGGTCAGTAGGTGTGATGGATAGGATACAAATGGCGACTAATCACCAAACCGGAAGAGGATGAGGTGTGGAGAGGCGAGAAGCAACCCGCACATCAACCAACGGCAAAGAGCGATGATACAGATGTGGTACGGTGGCATGCAGGTCGGTACGCAAGACGCTGGACCTAATTCCGTAGTGACAAATGGCAGAGACTGTGGTCGCTAAGATAGCAAAATACCACACAACCACGTCACACGAACACGCGAACACAGACAAAGAGTTAGAGAGAATGACGCATGAGGAAATATTTTGACAGAAGCTCAATTTAGTTGGTTTTAGTTGATGACTTACCAGTGGTAAAAGTGAAATCAGGCAAGTTTTCCAGGAGATTTTTCATAGGGCGGTAGATGTTACTTCATGCAAGCCATGTGCGAGTAAAGTGGGAGGAAGGTTTCGCGTCAGGCAATCCAATTCATCAAGATAGGCTTGTGGTGACTTTTCGGTTCGGTCGGGTGGCTTCTGCAGATATAGGAAAAGTGCAGCAGTGTCTGGATGGCAATTTGCTCGAATGAGCTCATTCAAAACCTCGACTGAAGCGCATCTACCCGAATCAAGTGAGAAGAAAGCAGAATCCATTGTCACTATCTTGATGTCTGCCTGAAAAGGGGGATGATAAACGCATAAATTCGGTAAATGCTGCACAAATGTGGTAAAAAGTGATATCTCATAGGGAACACAGGCGGCGGTGTACACGTCAAACACTGTGCGTACTTGCCCATAGATTTGGCAGTTGATTCATCAGTTACGAGTACTCCGCCCTTTGGTTCATGTTCTCGTCTACAGCACCCAGCGTTGGTTTATTACACGACCCTTACGTACACACTGCTAAACCACAAATGTAAGCCGATTGCAGAGTGGGTATTACGATATACTTTTTAACTGCATTTCGGAGCTTTTTCGGACATGACAGATATTAGTGATAGGGAATAAAGAATGAGAAACGAGTACACTGTCTGATAGGGTAACACTGTTGTGTAAGTTCATAAAATGGGATCAGGTGCTGGGACTGCGAGATGAGTGACAAGATGTTCCTAATCGCTGGAAACTGAACGGTGAACGAATAGCACTTGAACAAGCAAGTGCTCAGTGGTGTGAGTGAACCAAACACCACCACATGAATGATGGAGAAAGCAATTCCCGTCATAATGCTAACGTTAGCTTGAAGTGAACACGCAGTTGCGAAAGAACAATTTCGCGACCCTGAGGGCAAAAATAAACAGCACAGAAATACAGCGGAGATAAGGAACAGAACCGGGTGACATGGGTTCAGGCAGGCAAAAAAATGGATGGCAAGCATTAGCATTAAAAGACTTGGAATTCCAAACAAGTAGGAGGAGTTAAAAAAAAACAAACTCACCGCAATACGGAGATCATGCAGGAGACGTCTGAGCCACAAATGAGCCATGTCGGCCACGGAGCTAACAGATGTTAAGAGCGTTGTTTCGTCGACACCATTCCCAGTTGGAGGCAGAGGGAAGAATACCCGTAACAAAGGTCGATGGCGTCGGCTTCTCCAGTAGGGAGACCTTGCGACCAAACAAGCGAGTTGAAGCAAGAAGAGCCCAGTGCGATCCAGCTCACGTCCGAAAGACATCGAGGTGTTAGTCAGAAAATCTAGTAAATTAACCGGCCATATGTCAAAGAACGGAGAGCGATCGTTAGCAATTCTTACACATCCGGTTGAAGGCACACGATATACCACGTGGGAGGAATCTTCAAAATCCACATCGATGGCGACCTCGTATGATGTGGATGCTTGCTCACGTTCGTGGCCACGACGCCGAAGGCGGTGTAGGAAATACTTCACTTTATCAAATCCCGTCAAATTATCTTCGAATATAACTTTATCAAAATGACGAGCGAGGACAACATTTGTCTGATAAAAAGAAAAAATGCAACAACAAGGTCACGTGTCCAGTAAGTAGCTACCGAAACAAACAGAAAGAGTGAGCACAAGTTATGCTAGCAGGCAAACGTGAAACAAAGCACTCCTTGGGACAGCGACCTAAATGGAAGAGAAATGCTGGCGCCATAATACTCATTGTTTGGGAAGTACGCCAACAGTGAAATGAAACGAAAACATTTCGTTTAAACAAGCCAGATGGAGCGCTCTTTGCTGCTTTTGACAGGCTGCGCTAATCGCGAACATAAAAACTGAAGCGGCGCGAAAAAACAATGGGAGCACATCATTGTTGGAAGTAGGTCATCTCATCGATGATTTCACGCGTATTTATAATAGCGGAAGCTATGGGACAAATCATGGTTGGTGGCATCCGGCTCCGGAGTTGCTTGTCACCGCGGCCACAGTACGCCTGTGGGACTATGGGTGGCTTGGGATGCACCCCTCCTCCCACAGCTCAATCCACACATCCAGTGCGAACCCGAAGGAATAAGACCGGGAGGCATGCGGATGGGAGCAATGTTACATTAACAGAGCCGGCCGAGACTCCTTCAACATACACAGCAGCAGCATTGCTGTTTATCCAATTGGGGAATCATGCGTATCAGACATACACAAGGCGGTGGCTAAGTCGCAGCTTATTCTACACTGGATGAATGGAACCACCCTTCAAGTCTCCTAGAGCCAGCATAATCGCGGTAGCGGTTTTTTGGCAGGTAGGCACCTTGTCAATATGTACATCAAGCGCAGCCACACTGGGATTATCAAGCACAATATGAAAAGGAATAAACATGCAAACTAGACAGTAAATGTGTGGTAGTGCAACAGAACAGAGCAAAATAAAAAATGCGTCAAGTCATATCTATTCTAAATGGGACTTGGGGAAAGTGTAAGTCAGGGGAAATCGACCAATGAGCAACGAAAAGGAGAGAAAATCGTAAAATATGCAAGAAATATAGGGAGAATCATCGTAAATTGAGCTAAAAAGTGATGGGTTAAAATCGAGCTAGTGTATTCCGAAGTAAGCGTAAGTTACTCTTGCCCAACTGCGGTGAAGGAGCATAATAAATGTGACATCAAAAGCAACATGAGGCACAAGGGGAACAAAGCATAGCAACCAAGAAACACACACGGGGCCTCAAAGCGGATACACACAAGCCATACGAAAGTGCAAGACTAGATAAGAAGACTCCAATAAACAACGGGTTAAAACCGTCTCTGTACTACATCCACAAGTGAATGAACGAATGGATGTTCTCGTGAAAGTTTGTCAAAATGGACTGCAGCTGATGAGAGTTGCCTGCCTGATCCACACCGCAATCCGGAGTTCTGACACCAAAGAAAGCACTAATGACCGGTGGTAGCGATATCGTGTATTGGCATGGTGACAACGTTGGGTTCGAAGAGCGGCTCCATCGTGGGACGGGAAACGGTTTGTTTAACGCTCTGTGTATGTTCGGCAGACATGTTTCCCAAAATGTCGCGTGGGTGAACGATTGGCAGGTATGCCAAATACACACGAAGTGCGCATATGTCGCCGCAGGATAAACAACTTCTCCAGTCAGCGGACATTGTTCACAACGTAGAAAATTGCGGTGCAGATCTACATCTACTCATAAGTGATATGTACATTCATAACGAAACAACCCAGGCTCCTGTTCCAAAACCGCAATGTTTATTCCAGTTAAGACTGGATATATGAGATGAGTGAATGGCCAAAGCAGTTCAAGTCATAAATGATCTATCCCCATAGATATGGGAAAGCTGTAGCTGTTATCGACCTCAGTAGAACGCCGCACAGTTGGAAACGGAGGTCACCAGTTATACAAAAAAAACCGGTTGCACAGGAAGAAGATAGAAACAGATTCACAAATGTGTTATAAGTGCGTCATCAGTTAACAATTCGGATCCGCGCTTAGACTAAGAATAAAGCACTAGTACTCAAGACAACTCGGGCTATATGTGGTAAGAAGATTAAAAGAAGCTATTAAAAAATGCTCGTACCTCCATGCTGAGGATCTCACGAATAAGGCTGACATACTGTTCAGCGTTCATACGAGAGCCTGAAGAATTGCTGTCGCCTATGCCTGAGTTCCATCCTTTGTCCAGACCACGGAGGCCATGCACCAAAAAGTCTGCAAATCCGCACGGAAAAGTTCGAACAGACAAAAAGTCTCTAGTTACAAGTACATGAGTGGGAGATAGATAAAAGTGATAAACAACCCGGACCTGGATATGCATAAGTTTCAAACAAGCAGCGTAGACATACCTGAGTCACGGTTGCAACCAGAGGATGGGTGGACAAATGAGCTACACAGGCTCTAAATACAGCAAAACCTCTGTAATTTGATCACTCAAGGGATTGGAGTAAAGTGGCCAACACACAGAGGTCTAGAACCATAAGGTTTACCTGATGGACGTTTAAGCAATGAAAAATAAAAGGGTCAGAATGTAGAGGTGTTCACTTTTAGAAGTTCTACTGTAGTTTAAAAAATGAACCAGCTAAGAAACTGTGGCTAAAGATCGCTGTGGTTCAGTTTCATAACGAATTTATCAGATCAATCCGCATCATTAAACATGAGCTAGGATGTTAAGCATCATATTGTAAACTACCAAATTCCCTTGAGTAAGTAGGATCCAGTAGGATCAAACCTGTACACAGCAAGCGGAGATACGTGGTGGAGAACGACAGGGACGAATTGGACTTCCGCTGGAAGGAGACCAATGAGGCTATGTGAGAAGCTGCCGTGCATCGAGTAAAGGGAAAAGTACATACAACAAAAATAATAAATCCACCTGGAGTAAGGAAAGTTAAAATCCAATGAGCGATAGAGGGCTCGGACGGACAGCCCCTAAGCTTCAGCACTGATCGTGCGTCCACATCCGAATTGGAGGCAAATTTCGCTGCCGTGTTTTCAGATAACTAGGTGTCTGTACCGAGATTCATGTGCACCGCAATAATCGAACTCGATAGCTTGGATTGCGAAAATGAGGTGTGTGGACTACTCGTCAACGTTGATAGCGACGAAGGTGCTGGGCCTGACAGACTTGAACAATGACCATCACATAGTCAACCGTGACTGACCTGTTCAGTAGGGCGCAGTTCGAAGGTTCGTTACCGAGTGATCGGAAATGCTAGGTAGTAACGCTGTTTGCGAAAGGCAGTGACGCCGGGAAAGTAGACAATTAAAGGCCAATTTGTCTGACACCTATTTTGGCTACGGTAGTCGAGAGCATGAGGAAGACTCATACAGCAATTCCGGTCAAAAGATCTCAAACGGCCACACAGCACGGTTTCAGGTCACGTCATTCATCTAGTACCAAGCTGCTGGTGACGAAGCATGTATGTTTTCACGCGGTAAACCAGGGGTGTTTTCTCGGTTTGATCTACATCGATTTCAGTAAGGCGTTCGACAAGGTGAATCATGAGGGCCTCCTCCACAAGCTGTGGGTGCGGTGTTGGTCGCCCATTGTACCAGTGTATTCGCAAGTTTCTCGTTGGAGGTAAGTGATGGCTACAATTCGACGACCATCTAATCGGGTGACATCACCCGGCCGGTGACGTACTCCAAAGCATGGCACTGGGGCCTGCTCTGTTCTATATCAAATATCTACCTCAGCTTCTCCGGTCACCGCGTACTTTGTTTGCGGACGACCTCAACACGTGGAAAATGATTAGCTCCACCGACGACTGTGACGTACTTCAGCATGACCCCAACCAACTCCAGGTCAATCCATTCAACTCAGTATACATGAGCCGGGGGAAGGATTGTGATGAGCGTATGTACACCTAACTAACCAACCGAAACGTACAACCTCTTCCGTGAATGACGTAGGCGCATTCTCATGCCGCGATTTAACGCTAAAAAGATCGTTCTGTCGTCCTACCTAAAACGCCTGAGATCGGCCGGAATGAACGCATTCGTTTCCTCCAAAACCTTTTGGATTACGTATACCAAGAAGGTGTAATAACATCTGCAACTGAAAAATGATTACATTGAACTTGAATTTGTCAAAACTTGAAAAGTAGTGTACGTATTATTCAACTTACATTTTAAACAGGTGAAAATCCTCTTAATTTGTCCATATGAGCCACAAACCATATTTTCAAATACAGAGCACGTGTCATCTGACTCGTTGCCTTTACAGTAACAAACTTGACACACGTAGATTATTTACTTTACTTTACTGCGGTTTCATGAGTGTCGCGGATTGTAGCTGCCCAAGCGCAACGGTCGGCAGCTGGCTACACGCAGATACTGATCCAATAATTCCTCCAGTGACGAGCACCATGCGCAACATGGAGTCCCAGAAGATCGACATCCGATTTCACTACAGCGAGGCACGTTTGCTTTTGTCCACCACGGAGACGACACCAAACCTGGCATGGCAAAGGTAAAACCACTGCCCTAGTGAAGTCATTGTCTGGTCTGCGAAAGACGTGACCGAAGCACTGAAGTCTGCGATGTTGGATGAGCGCTGAGACCTTCGGAAGACCGCAACAGCGCTTACGGATTTAGTCATCGGTGATACGCTCATGCCACCGCATTTTCGAGATAAGCTTTAGACACCAATGGTCGAAGACTTCCAGCCTCCGGGTGTCTTCGGACCGCAGCGGACATGTCTCGCAACTACAGAGTGAAATGACACGAAGGGTTGCTGAGAATACTCGGATTGTCGTTCTCATACGAATTGCCGTCCTTCGCTACATGTTTTTCAGTTATAAGAGGGCTGTTTTATCGTTGTCAATACAATTCCGGATATCGGATGTAGCCTGACCATCGGGGAGAATAGTGGATCCCAGATACTTGAACTCAGGAACAGACTAGATGAGTTGTCCACGTAAGGAGAACGACGGGGCAGACTGGGTAGATGACGATGAGAAGTAGTTCGTCTTGCTGATATCAATTTCGAGGTCGATATTAGAGGCTGATTGGTCGACCCGACTTAGCAGTGACTGTAATGATATAGCATCTTCTACACGGATAGCGAAATTGTCAGCAAATTCTAGGTCTGACAGCCAGAAGTAAAGGCTAACTTGAACACCACAATAACCCTCAAGGACATGAAGCATAACATACTCGACTGCGAAGTTGAACAGCACTGGAGAACATGGGCAATTTTGTCGGACTCCAGTATTGATGTCGAATATCTTTGTCTCTTCTCCGTAGACCCGAATCCGGGCCTTCAAGCAACGGTAGTATGATCTCATCAAGTTAACGAGTTTAACCGGCACGTCATCGGCAAGTAGGATTCGCCAGAGTGCTTTGCGGTAAGATGAATCAAAGGCAGCTCGAAAATCAACGAAGCACACAAATGTGGGAGATGGCACTGAGCAATCCGCGTCATATCTTGACTGGGTTAATGCTGAAATGGATGCGGTGGTGTGTAGTGGGCGATTTAGGAGGTTTTTGGAACACTCTACCCATCTGGAAAGCTTTCCTTCCGTATCAGGGAATGATTTGGTCTTCCAAATTGCGCAGGATCAGTTGCGGTGAATAGTGCTTGTCGAAAGATAAACAGACGAGCCAAAAAAGATGATCCAAAATTTGATGTAGCTTCCATGTTGCCTGCGGGAACAGACCAGGAGCGGTTGCGATCATTCCGTGCGGAGCGGGTTGCCTTATGTCACCAGGGACGGTAGTCTGAGGAATTCGTGAGACGTGCTTCTCTCGCTTTAGCGGACAAACGGATAGTATCTTTAATGATCCAGTCTTTCACAGGCTTAGAGTTGGAGCCCACGGTAGATAAAGCGGCGCGCTGAACCGACAATTGTAGCCTAGACCAATGAGCGTCGACAGATGCATTTATTGCAAGTACTAAGCGTGGCAGAAAGTTCTGCTTCTATTGCTGCCTCAAGGGACCAGGAACAGCCAGTATTTTCCAGTATGGAAGTGTTTATATGCTTTGATGGAAGGGTCTTTCGGCGCATTGTCAAGAAAAGTTTGAATTAGGCGTACAGGAGTACGTGGTCCGAACCACCTTCACTGACCGTTTCATCCCCTCTGTACGCTTGACAGTCATCAGTGGAAAACATGCACCGGGATCCGAGTAAGATGTAAGCTATCTGGCTTGCTGTACGACCATTATTGAAGTACCACATCAGAAGATGCTTTCTGGGACGCTGGAACCGAGTTTGGTTATGCACATCCGGTTAAGGTCAGCGAAGCTGAGCAATCGGTCTCCATTATCACAGCGCTCTACAAAGGCGTATCTCCCGAGTATGTGACGGGTCTAATCGTTCCTCCATTCCAGTCCACAGCAATAATGAGGATGCCGTGTCCTGTAACATGGTTTACCACCGTCTGTAGAGTATCGTAAAATTAGTCTTTGTCTCTTTCCGTTGAGGGTAGGGTTGGTGCGCAGACAGACAATATAGTCAGATTCATCGGGTGACCATTGAAGTGAGCAACTGCTATTCTGGCTGATACTGGCGCTGTGTGACTGACAATTGAGAGACATGGCGACCCCATGATTGCCAGAATTATCTTGCGTCCCACTGTGGTAAAGCCAATATGAGGTGTCTACACCAGGGACTTTGATTTGTCGGGAGCCATAGCCGGGTATTCGTGATTCTGACAAGCATGCTATGTCGATCTGGTAGTCATGTAGTGTGCACATGGTCAACATCTGGCTGCCGACATCCAACAGGGTTCTGACATTCCAGCATCCAATGAATAGTGGCTTCCAGGGATTGAGGGACCCATCTAGTTTACTTGTCAATCTGGCCACTGCGTTAACGCAGAGCGCGTCGCCTACCGGAAACGCCGTAGAATGAGAAGAATCGCGGGTAACGGATAGGTCATGAAGTTTCGTGGGGATTATGAGGACCTCAACCTCATCCGGCTTTTGTTTGAGGGTTCATCACTAGCCTTTGTACAGCCAAATGCTACCTGTAAGGCAGCAGAAATCCGGGAAATCGTCTCAACTTCTGGCCGTTAGAGCAGGGATAGATCTCTTCCGACTAGTTATCAGGACTAGCGTTACACACGGGTACGAACTCATCGAGAATAGTGTTCCCGGCTACCCTCAAATGGTTTAGCCCGTGTGCCGGACGGTCGAACGGAGTGTGGCCGCTGCGGCGTGTAAGCAGCATCTTGGAGACACAGTTGAGAACTGGATGATAGGTGTAGGT